AATGTTTCATAACTCACTCGAAGAGATGACAAAACACACAGTAATAATAAACTCTCCACACTGCAAAAACGTTCTAATTTCCACATTTTTATTACCAACTTTACTTATGTCTGGTTACCGTTGACTGGTACCTTTACACTGCCTACAGTAACAAACTGAACATACACACAGTGTACTCCAGTAGTGCGTCTTACACCAGGGACAAGATATCCATGAAGACACACACACACACACACACACTCAAAATGCAAGGAGGCAGTGGAAAGGTTTATCCCCAAGGGCAACAGAAACAATGGGAAGACCAGAACGATCCCCTGGTTTACCCGACGGTGTAAGGAGGCAAAAATAAAGTGCAATAGAGAATGGAAAAAGTACAGAAGGCAGAGAACACACGAAAATAGGGAGATCAGTCGCAGAGCCAGGAATGAGTACGCACAGGTAAGGAGGGAGGCCCAGCGACAGTATGAAAATGACACAGCATCGAAAATCAAGACTGACCCGAAACTGTTGTATAGCCACATCGGAAGAAAGACAACAGTCAAAGACCAGGTGATCAGATTGAGGACAGAAGGTGGAGAACTCACAAGAAATGATCAGGAGGTATGTGAGGAGCTAAACAGGAGATTTAAGTAAGTTTTTACAGTAGAGACAGGAAGGGCTGTGGGAAGACAGCACAGAAGGGGACATCAAGAGGGAATATACCAACAAGTGCTGGATGAATACGAACAACCGAGGAGGAGGTGCAGAAGCTGCTAAGCGACCTTGATACCTCAAAGGCGATGAGACCGGACAACATCTCCCCGTGGGTCCTAAGAGAAGGAGCAGAGATGTTGTGCGTGCCCCTAACCACAATCTTCAACACATCCTTGAAACTGGGCAACTACCTGAGAAATGGAAGACAGCAAATGTAGTCCCCATATTTAAGAAAGGAAACAGAAATGAGGCACTAAACTACAGACCTGTGTCTCTGACATGTATTGTGTGCAAAGTCATGGAGAAGATTATCAGGAGGAGAGTGGTGGGACACCTGGAACGGAACAAGATTATAAATGAAAACCAGCATGGGTTCATGGAAGGCAAATCCTCTGTCACAAACCTCCTGGAGTTTTATGACAAGGTAACAGAAGTAAGACACGAGAGAGACGGGTGGGTTGATTGCGTCTTCCTAGACTGCAGGAAGGCCTTTGACACAGTTCCCCACAAGAGATTAGTGCAGAAGCTGGAGGATCAGGCGCATATAACAGGGAGGGCACTGCAATGGATCAGGGAATACCTGACATGGAGGCAGCAACGAGTCATGGTACGTGAAGAGGTATCGCAGTGGGCGCCTGTGACGAGCGGGGTCCCACAGGGGTCAGTTCTAGGACCAGTGCTATTTTTGATATATGCGAACGACATGATGGAAGGAATAGACTCTGAAGTGTCCCTATTTGCAGATGATGTGAAGTTGATGAGAAAAATTAAATCGGATGACGATGAGGCAGGACTGCAAAGAGACCTGGACAGGCTGGACATGTGGTCCAGAAACTGGCTTCTCGAATTCAATCCTGCCAAATGCAAAGTCATGAAGATTGGGAAGGGGCAAAGAAGACCGCAGACAGAGTATAGGCTAGGTGGACAAAGACTACAGACCTCACTCAGGGAGAAAGACCTTGGGGTGACCATAACACCGACCACGTCACCGGAGGCACACATCAACCAAATAACTGCTGCAGCATACGGGCGCCTGGCAAACCTGAGAATAGCGTTCCGATACCTTAATAAGGAATCGTTCAAGACACTGTACACTGTGTATGTTAGGCCCATACTGGAGTATGCAGCACCAGTCTGGAACCCACACCTGGTCAAGCACGTCAAGAAGTTAGAGAAAGTACAAAGGTTTGCAACAAGGCTAGTCCCAGAGCTCAAGGGAATGTCGAACGAGGAAAGGTTAAGGGAAATCGGACTGACGACACTGGAGGACAGAAGGGTCAGGGGAGACATGATAACGACATACAAGATACTGCGGGGAATAGACAAGGTGGACAGAGATAGGATGTTCCAGAGAGGAGACACAGAAACAAGGGGTCACAACTGGAAGCTGAAGACTCAGACGAGTCACAGGGACGTTAGGAAGTATTTCTTCAGTCATAGAGTCGTCAGGAAGTGGAATAGCCTAGCAAGTGAAGTAGTGGAGGCAGGAACTATGCATAGTTTTAAGAAGAGGTATGACAAAGCTCAGGAAGCAGAGAGGGAGAGGACCTAGTAGCGATCAGTGAAGAGGCGGGGCCAGGAGTTGAGTCTCGACTCCTGCAACCACAATTAGGTGAGTACAATTAGGTGAGTACACACACACACACACACACAAAATGCTGTACACCCCAAAGTCTGTACAAGTTGAGCAAACTATGTACATTCCAAACAGAATATAGAGCAAACACCTTCATGTGCACATCAGTGTAGACATGCCACGGAGTATACTCCCCCCCCCCCACCAACCCCACCTCAGATCTCAGCCCCACACCCATATCCACCCCCACACATACATCACAGAACATTGGTGATACAGCTCACAGGAGAGGTAAAAAAAAAAAAACGCATTATACTCCATAGGCAGATACGCTACACATGACTGTCATCCACCGACGACACTGCAAAACTCCAGGCGGACATCAACCAAATCTTTAGATGGGTCGCAGGAAACAATATGAAGTTCAATGAAGAGAAATTTCATTTACTCCGATATGGAAAACTTCAGGAGTATAAAACAAATTCCAACCACACAACAGAGAGAAAAACTAATGTCAAGGACCTGGGAGTGATAATGTAAGAGGAACTCACTTTCAAAGAAATATAATAGGATGGATAATGAGAACCTTCAAAACTAGGGACGCCAAGCCCATGATGATTCACTTTAAATCGCTTGTTCTCTCTAGGATGGAATACTGCTGTACACTAACTCCCCTTTCAAGACAGGCGAGACTGCTGACCTGGAGAATGTACAGAGAACCTTCACGTCACACACAAGTACCATAAAGCACTTAAATTACTGGAAACGGTTGAAGTTCCTCGATTTGTATTCCCTGGAACGCAGGCGAGAGAAATACATGATAATATACACTTGGAAAATCCTAGAAGGATTAGTACCAAATATACACACGAAAATCACTCCTTACGAAAGTAAAAGACTCGGCAGGAGATGCAACATTCCTCAAATGAAAAGCAGAGACGCCATGAGTACAACATAATAAGTGTCAGGGGCCCAAGAATATTCAATTGCCTCCCTGGTTGTCTTCAAGGAGCTGGACGGCCACTTACAGTCGGTACCTCACCAGCCGGGCTGTGGTTTGTACGTCGCCTTACGTGAGGCCAGCAGTAACAGCCTGGTTGATCAGGTTCTGATTCACCACGACGCCTGGTCAAAGACCGGGCCGCGGGGGCGTTGATCCCGAAACCCTCCCCATGTACACTCCAGGTATGTACACACTGCACATGTACACACAATACACATGTACACACTACACATGTACACACTACACATGTACACACTACATATGTACACACTTTACATATTCACACTGCACATGTGCACACATTACAAGTACACACACGCACTACATATGTGCACACATTACACGTGCACACACGCTACACATGTACACAATACACATGTACACACTGCACATGTACACACTACACATGTACACACTATACATGTGCACACGAGATATATACACACTACACATGTACACAATACACATGTACACACTGCACATGTACACACTACACATGTACACAATACACATGTACACACTGCACATGTACACACTACACATGTACACAATACACATGTACACACTGCACATGTACACACTGTACATATACACGCTACACATGTACACACTACAAATGTACACACTACACATGTACACATTACATATGTACACACTGTGCATGTGCACAGTATACATGTTGGTTTAGAAAGACACGTAAGCAAACACTAACATATTTATTAGAAAACGTTTCGGTCCTGGGACCTTGATCACTTCTAACATACAGAGGTAGAAAGACATTATATATACAGGCGGAGAGTGAGGTGTGAGTGACACATGGTGACCTGAAGAATGTCATGTTGGGATGAGGACGGGTAGACGATGAGATCATGTGACTCCTGTGTTGTTGGGTTGGTGCTGCTTATCATGTATGCCAATGTTTTTGAAATTTTGTAGTTTGCGGTGTTACGTTCTATAGTGTCGGTGACGGTGATTAGTGAGGCTTCTAGGCACCGTCGGCGTCTGAGGTCTGGTTCGGTGAGAACGAGTTGTGCCTCATTCCAGTTCATCAAATGCCCCGTGGAGTCTCTGTGGAGGACACAGGCGTACCTTACATCGTCTCTGTTAGAGGCATTTCGATGCTCATTCAGGCGGACTGCAAGATCTCTGCCTGAATGAGCATCGAAATGCCTCTAACAGAGACGATGTAAGGTACGCCTGTGTCCTCCACAGAGACTCCACGGGGCATTTGATGAACTGGAATGAGGCACAACTCATTCTCACCCAACCAGACCTCAGATGCCGACGGTGTCTAGAAGCCTCACTAATCACCGTCACCGACACTATAGAACGTAACACCGCAAACTACAAAATTTCAAAAACATTGGCATACATGATAAGCAGCACCAACCCAACAACACAGGAGTCACATGATCTCATCGTCTACCCGTCCTCATCCCAACATGACATTCTTCAGGTCACCATGTGTCACTCACACCTCACTCTCCGCCTGTATATATAATGTCTTTCTCCCTCTGTATGTTAGAAGTGATCAAGGTCCCAGGACCGAAACGTTTTCTAATAAATGTCAGTGTTTGCTTACGTGTCTTTCTAAACCAATTTGTCGGTATTTATTACCAAAGTTTATACCACAGTATACATGTACAACACATGTACACACTATACATGTACACACTACACATGTACACACTGTACAGGCACACACTGTACATTTACACACTACTGTACCTGCAGTTGGTGTGTACAGTCGCAGGCAGCTCATCAACGTACCTGTAAAACACGAACATTATTGGTATAAACTCGTCCTCATCATAGGCAGAGGTTGTTTTGATAAGGACCTGCCTCGCATGGGCCAGTAGGCCTTCAACAGTGTTCCTCCATTCTTATGTTCTTATGACATTCCTCATGTCTTTCTACCTCTGTATGTTAGAAGTGATCAAGGTCCCAGGACCGAAACGTTTTCTAATAAATATGTTATAGTGTTTGCTTACGTGTCTTTCTAAACCAACGAACATTATTGTTTATCTTTACTAACAATTATAATAAAACACATAAATACATTAAAAATATATGGAAGATTAAATACTTCAAAGAGAAGAAACAAGGCAGAAGCTTATATTTGGGAGAGCTTCTTGCTCTGTGTAAAGCTTCATAAATTCAAGACTTAATTGAGCTCCGTGAAGAACTTCGTCACGAATTAACAAGGTTCTAGGAGGAATGTCGCAAAACATGACTTAACAAGGCTCTATGTAAAGTTTTGTTAAGTCATGCTATGGCGTGACAAAGCTCCAACACGGTGATTCTTTATTTCTTTTCATTACTATTGTTGGCAGCATGATACCTGCATCCACACCAAACCTTGAAGATGGAACACCACCATCATAGCTCTGCTGCTGTAACTACAAATACTGAAGATATGACACTACCAACACAACTCTGCTGCTGTAACTACAAATACTGAAGACATGACACTACCAACACAACTCTGCTGTTGTAACTACAAACACTGAAGACATGACACTGCCAACACAACTCTGCTGCTGTAACTACAAACACTGAAGATATGACACTGCCAACACAACTCTGCTGTTGTAACTACGAACACTGAAGATATGACACTGCCAACACAACTCTGCTGTTGTAACTACAAACACTGAAGATATGACACTGCCAACACAACTCTGCTGCTGTAACTACAAATACTGAAGATATGACACTACCAACACAACTCTGCTGCTGTAACTACAAACACTGAAGATATGACACTACCAACACAACTCTGCTGCTGTAACTACAAACACTGAAGACATGACACTGCCAACACAACTCTGCTGCTGTAACTACAAACACTGAAGACATGACACTGCCAACACAACTCTGCTGCTGTAACTACAAACACTGAAGATATGACACTGCCAACACAACTCTGCTGTTGTAACTACTGATAATTAATCACAGGTGTTCTGCTCTGTTATATTTACAAAGCACTAGAACTGTTTTTATTCGTTTATGTCATGATCAACTTGCTACAGTCGTGATCAACTAATTCTCATTTTTACATTAATCATAAAAATTATCCCGTAATCAATATCCACAATTTGCTCTTTGTCATCGGCAGAAAGTGTCAGCAAACGAAAGAGAAAATTTCCCCACTATTTATGCAGAAAAAATATGCTAGGGAAAAAGTGGCAGTACTCTTAGATAAGGCCTCCTTTCCACTCTATTTACAAGCCATTCAAACCATCCTACCGCGTTAAGGTGACCCAGAGTCAGTTAGGGAGGTCGGAGAGGGAGTTGGCGACGTTAATCACAGTAAGTTAAACAGGTCACTAAAAACGCACATAAATTATTAGAAAAAACGAGTAAGTTGAGGTGCTTCAGCTCCCTGGGTGCCCTGGTGATGGACCAGGTGCTTCAGCTCCCTCTTGGCCCTGGTGATGGACCAAGGATTTCAGAGAAAAAATGGCAAGAGCTCCGTGGAACCTTGAAAACATGGAGAGAATAAGAGGCAAACAATTACAATAGATGTAAAATTCTTGGTTTGAAAGGAAAATACAGAGAAAAGAGGGAAAAATGTCCTCATGGGAAAATATCACTGGCAGGATCCCACAAGGATCAATGCTGGTTCCGAAGTTTTTTCATTTATGACAACAGTTGCTCCAAAGAAATAAATAACTAAGTAAACATGCTTAACCAGGATGTGTAAATGCTACGTAAAATAAATAATAATAATAATACTATCTTTATTTACTACAAGTACATGTACAAGGTATACAACCCATAGCTGACATCAGTGACATACTACTATATAGAAAGCCCCTTATTATGCAGAGCATTTCGGGCAAATTAGCTCCTTGTCCCAGGATGCGACCTACACCAGTCGATTAACTCCCAGGTACCCATTTTACTGACGGGTTAACATAGACAACAGGTGTAAAGAAACACGCCCAATGTTTCTACCCTCACTAGGAATCGAAGGCAAATTCTCGCAGTGTGAAAAGAGAGCTTCAGCAATCAGGCCAAGAGGCACCGTTAACTGACTGCTAATTCCAGCGACAGGATGTTACTAAACTGAGCAAAATTTATAAACATTTGAATGCTGGAATTTAACATAGATAAGTGTACTATAACGTGAACATAGAATGTGTGATAAAGTAATGACAATATCGTGGAAAATTCAAGTTCTGGATTTCGTGTTATCATTTGTGAGAACATCTGACTGACTTCATCCCTTAACACTGATAGTTTTCAACACTGATAGCTTTCAACACTGATAGCTTTCAACACTGATAGCCTGTTAATACAACTTTCATGTGCTTGTGTATTTACTGATACAGGTCTCGATAAGATAACATAATACCAATCTCATCTTGGCTACAAAACTGGTGCCTCTGAGTGGACAAAAGTTGCAGATTATTATTATTATTATAATCAAGGGGGAAGCGCTAAACCCGGAGGATTATACAGCGCCTGGGGGGGGGGATGTGGAAGGCATTCAGGCATAATTCAGGGAACTGGAGCACAGATCCAATTCCCTAAATCAAGAGCCCCTCACCAACATCAAGGAACCTTCCTTGAGGGGAAAAGTTGCAGAGAGAAGACTGTGTACTGTGCATCACGGCTGTAGTAACCGCAAACTCCTGCGCCACTCTGGCCGACTTAAACCACACCCTAACATACTGCATTGTTAGAATGCTCGGCTTACAATACATGGGATTTGGATTAGATTCCCAGGCAGGTGGGAGCGAAACATATGCACAACTTTCGTAATGCCTGTGGCCCCTGTTTACCTAGCAGTAAATAGGTACCTGGGTGTAAGTCGACTGTTGTGGGTCGCATTCTAAGCAAATGGGACAGTGTACCTACTTTAGAGAGGGCTGGGCTTTGAAAAAAGCTAAGGTACGATAACATCTCTTTATCTACGAATTGATTTGGTATATATATATATATATATATATATATATATTATATATATATATATATATATATATATATATATATATATATATATATATATATATAACATATATATATATATATATATATATATATATATATATATTATATATATATATATATATATATATATATATATATATATATATATATATATCGTGCCGAATATGTATAACAAGAACAATTTATTTTAGCCTACCCTACTAAATATATTTTAGATTTGTTTACAATAATTTAATACTAAACAAACACAGTGAAATATATTTTTTTCGTTAGGTTCAGAATGATTTTGGCGAAATTATTACATATATATATATATATATAATATATATATATATATATATATTATTATTTATTTATTTATTGGCTTAAATGACAACACTCTCCTTGCCGAATAAGGCAAATGAAAATTTGTCTGTGCAATAATTTCGCGAAAATCATTCTGAACCAAACGAAAAAAATATATTTCATTGTGTTTATTTATTGTTAAATTATTGTTAACTTATCTAAAATATATTTAGTTGGATTTGGCTGAATTAAATTGCGCTCGATAAAATAAGGTTAGGTAAGTTTTGTAAGGTTCTTTTGGTACAAAATTATTAATTTTTACATCAACACAAATGAAAAAAAATATATATTTAAATATATAAGAGTAAATTTTAGAAAGTGTTTAATTTTAAATGAGTTCTTGCAAATTGACCAATTTTACCTATTCGGTACACACATACATATAGGACAGAGTAAGATGATGAGAATAACAAAAAAAAAAAAAAATAGGTGGCGAAAGATTGGATATCAGATTAGAGGGAGAGAGTATGGAGGAGGTGAATGTATTCAGATATTTAGGAGTGGACAGGTCAGCAGATGGGTCTATGAAATATGAGGTGAATCATAGAATTGATGAGGGGAAAAAGATGAGTGGCGCACTGAGGAGTCTGTGGAGACAAAGAACTTTGTCCATGAGGGGAATGTATGAGAGTATAGTTATATCAACACTCTTGTATGGGTGTGAAGCATGGGTGATGAATGTTGCAACGAGGAGAAGGCTGGAGGCAGTGCAGATGTTCGGACATGTAGAGAGGAAGAAACAAAATAGAATGACTTCGAGAGTGTATTAGTCAGTAGTGGAGGGAAGGCGGGGTAGGGGTCGGCCTAGGAAAGATTGGAGGGAGGAAGTAAAAGAGGTTTTGTGTGCGAGGGGCTTGGACTCCCACCAAGGATGCGTGAGCGTGTTAGGAGCGAATGGAGACAAGTGGTTTTTAGGACTTGACTGTTGGAGTGTGAGCAAGGTAACAGTTATGAAGGGATTCAGGGAAACCGGCAGGCCGGACTTGAGTTCTGGAGATGGGAAGTACAGTGTCTGCACTCTGAAGGAGGGATGTTAATATTGCAGTTTTATAACTGTAGTGTAAGCATGCCTCTGGCAAGACAGTGATGAAGTGAATGATGGTGGAAGTTTTTCTTTTTCGGGCCACCCTGCCTTGGTGGGAGAAGGCCGATGTGTTAATAAAAAAAAATAATATATAGTACGTACATACATACATACACATTGATTGAGATCCCACTGAGGATGGAATTCGCACCCATGCCATGACCTGGCCTTTAGCAAGCATCTGAGTACTAGTGTGACTAGTTGATAGTCCAAGTCGAACCAAAACGTCGTCGTAAAGTTTCTATCACCGTTTGTTTCTTCTATGAGCGAGGTATTTGTGTACTGGAAGGTGAAGAGTTTAAGTCTATTATTTGTAAGATAAACTCGCTGTTATTCGATTCTTAGCATGTAAGCAAAACACGGTGTTGTGTGTACTTGTTAG